ATAAGTGGCCGTGTGCGCGCGCGACAACGTTTAATTTCCGAACTCCCGAATGCCAATTTCAGTAAATAATTACAAGGCCTAAGCGTGACCGCGACTTAGCCCCCTTTGGCCCGCATCGGCTGAGGTCACGCGACCGCTTGGTGGGGCCACGTGCTTCACCCAAACATCGCGGCCGGGCCATGAATGTATAATCCCCAAGGCGTATGGGAATCGACGAGAGCGCTAATCTGCCGTGTTTTGTTTGCCTGAGGACAACCACGTCACTCTCAGAGCTCGCTTCAAAATGTGGAGCCTGATTGAAGGGACAACTTCTGGTGTTCACAAGACGTAGGGACCGATTGACCCTATGAATGCAGGTCACAAGACCTTGTTCAGCTCTACACTGCTTCTTAAGAAGAAGCTTATAGTCGCTCATCTATTCGAGAAAGTACCCACCTCTAATTTTTCCTGAAGATGCATTATCTTAAACACGGCAATCAGCCGCTGGACCGAATCTTTAGCCACTCGAATCCAAGCAGACTCTGTTCATTTATAACCCACTTTAATATTATCCTCCCATCTACGTATAGATTTCTCAAGTGATTTATTCTCATATGATGGCCGTGTAGTCTTGTAGGAGTTTAATAACGTTTTAGAGGTCCCTGCTGCCTCCATATTGTTTCGAGTGAGATCGTAAGATTCTGAGTTAACGCCGATACATGAGCAGACTCGGGCAAAGACCGCGAGACTTGCGATATTTCGTTCGAAGACAGAAATAAACTTTCGTTTTTACGTATTTTTTGGGAAAAAAAATAAAAAATGTCTCGGTCGAAGTCTGTATACCTTAAAGTAGGACATTCGGGCTTATTTAAAAAATTAGTTTGGAAAAGTACCACGGTTCGGACCAATTTTAATCCGAAATGTTGTTAAACTTAACACATAGCTAGTAGGAATTTTCGATATTCACAGATTGTGCCATCTTCAGGTGATTTCCAGCTTCCAGTGCTTAGGTTCAAAGCTTTATCTGAAAAGACGTCGTGGGGATAAATATTTCATCCGTCTAAACTCTTTAGCGTCGAAATATTCTGAGTGAATTGGTGAAAATTCGGAAGGAAACGTTTCTTTTGTTCATTTTAAGGTGAGTCTACTATCCCAGCCTTTAGACGCGCCTGGGACCTCCTGATTACAAAGCAGGATTAGTCACATGGACGTTCGGTGTGGAGATAATGGTCCATTCATTCTTATTCTCTGCTGTGGATTAAGATAAGAGAGCAGCTTCAAGCTGAAGCCAGCTTTATCTCCGGCAATTTCTACGAATAGCTGAGCACATTACCATCGTCTGTACTAGGACTCTGCCCCATGGATTTTGTTAATTACGTTTGGATTCTCTGTAAATGAAACAGAATTTCAAACAAAATCAAACACGGCATAAACTTTCGCGTCTTAAGCTGTGTCTTGGTTACCGGATGAGTTAGTTGTCTGACATTGGCTGTCGGGATCACGAAGACTTGCCGCGTGGTGCTCGCGAACCGCTGTCCCATTGCAAACCTCTCCGCGATGACAAGCTTGTTAAGGAAGCCGAGTGTGAAGAATCTAGGCGCGTGGCGCGGACCGCAGAGTAAACACATTATGCTCGATACCACACAATATGTCGGTAACAATACGTCTGCTGACAAATTGAAAGCGATAAAACTTGCGAATGTTTGCAGCGGGGACGAGACAGAGAGAGAGAGAGACGTGGCTTTTGAATTGCACAATTAGACGTCACACTTATAACGGGTGTCCCCCCTCCCCACCCTCAAACTTCGACTGTGATCCCCGATTTCAGATCGATTGTTTGTTGTCCGATGGTTACAGTAATCGCAGTTACGGATTAAAAAGAGAGGATTCTCATGAAAAGTGTCGTTAAGAAATTCCGGGCGGACACAGCATCCTGTAAGAGATTTTAAACCACGGACGTCCGACTGCAGACCTGACCTTTAAAAATTATAAACAGTAGGCTTAATCTATGAAACAACTACGTTCGTTTTAAACATTTCCGTGATATGAACGATATAAGTCGTTTATAAGCGCTGGCCCTTTGGTTTTTCGAGAACTGAAGTTCAATAGCTCTGTTTCGGAATTTGTGAACATTTAAAATTAACTGTGTGTGAGTTTTAGGCAGCACGAAATTGAATCTTACGTTTACGATGGGAAAAGGATTTTTAAATAACAAGTTAGGAAATGCACACACGGCGTGGCGGGCCTGATTAATAAGACAGATAGCTTATATACGTCCCATTGTAACGCAGTTGTTCATCTCGTATGAATAATAGCCCAGACGTGTCTCTAAATCTGTTATTAAATATTTGTATATTTAAAGATATTTTTTAATCGTACTTTTAAAATAAATATCATTGAACCATTACGTTTAAGTTATATAAGATAAAGTGATATAATGATACAAGTTAGATCGAAATAAGAAAAAATTACGAATTTTATCATCGTGAATGTTGATAAAAAAAACTGCGGCCATCGGCCATGATGATCCGGTGATATTCGAGGTATGCAACAGTGTTACAAGACTCTCTCGATGTTACTGGGGAAACAGACGATTTTAAAAAATTAAAACTTAATTTATTCTCGTGTTTTGGTGTAAAATAATAATTAAAAACTTGCAACTCAACGTATTTAATAATGACACAGACACGTGCTCCAAATAATAGTAGCCAATAGGCCTTCTAGCCCAATTTTGGGCACATTTTGGAATGGAATGGCCCTCAATGTGACCGTGTGTTCGCGTTCTACGTTTGGTTGCCAATCAACAGAATCAGAATTGTAAATTTGCTTTCAGATTCAGATTTAACCTCACTTATGTGGTTCGTATTTGTATCGTAAAATATTATTTTATTAACAACAGAATGTCAGAAAGGAAGAAATGAGGTAAAAACGTTTTAAATTAATAAAATCCCAAATTTATTCCATTTTCTCACGTCATTGCTGATGTCTGGTAGTTCAGGCATCGATCTCAGCTTTGCTCGCCATTATTTCCCTGCTGTATTGATCCTCATGTCAGTTGCACTCCTCATTCGACCAATCACAGCTTCCAACGTCGCCCCATTGGTTGGTCGGCCAGCCCCTCCCCCATGAGCCTCTCAGCCAATAGCGTGAGGCCAAAATGAACGCTCAAAAGCGGCGTATGTTCCAGATTTTGAGTCACATCTCAAGGATTTTGTCCTGAAAAGATCTAGGGTTAAGTGTCCTGGACCAAAATAAATGTGAAATTTTATCTGAATGGCCCAGTTTCGTGTTTTAAATCAGGTTTGGGCTAATTCGTAGATAAAGTTACTGTTCCAAAAGGAAAATCGGGTTTATTTCCTTCGAAGTTTACAAATTTTGAGAGTGTCTTGAGGGGAGCGTAATATTTCAGAATATATTTTCTCTTCTAGTCACAGATCGTGTTGAAAACAAAATCTTAACGTTTATAAGAACAAAAATGTGCCTGGGATATTTTTAATTTGCGTGGGTGTGAAACTTGGTCTCACAATAATTGAAGGACGTAATCGTAGGGTTTATTTCGAAAATAAGTTTGCTCAGGATAATGTAAGGACTTACGAGACAAACATTGACAATGACCTCGAGATATGAACATCCTAATAAGGACCTATATCGTCAAGCCTAATTTATAGACAATTCACCAAATATGCCCCGAATTATTTTTCAGCGTAATCAGTCCAAGGAGAATGAGATGGACAGAGCACGTAGCACGCGTTTTAGAGATTAGAAATGATTACTAAAATTTTACTCAGGAAAGGCGATGGGTTATTCAAGAGTTTGGCTGCACTGTATTTAAAATATTATTAAAGATCGCGTGGGAAATTGCTTTAGGGATTTTTCATGAGATGATACTCTAATTGTAAATCGAACATTTCGATAGAAAGAGCATCATTTTAATATATATTTTAAATATTAAATGTCAATTGTAGTAATAATATTTTAATATTTTAATATTTAATAAAATATTTTATTGTGATTAGACGGTTAAAATTAAACAATTAGGGACTTTTGTTAACACGGTGATGAACGGTTTTATTAATCGTGTGAGTTACGATTCTGTGGAGGGAGAATCATTTTAGTGAGAAAACTAAAAACGAAGGAAATTATCGGTTAAAATATTTGAGAAAATGTGAGATGTGTCAGAATGGATTAACTGCTCTTTTGTTACTGTAAAATATAAAGTTAGAGTAATTTAACAGCTTAAAAACCACATTTAATTCCGTAATTCACTGTCCAACCCCGGCCCATCTTTATGGCTGACCACAAAACCATTTATATATTTATTTATTTATTTATGTTAGATAAAACAATTTATTCATTTGGGTGGCGTTACGCTATTTTAAGGACAGTGGACGTCTGTTGTCTGTTTCCACATGTTCCCTCAAAAGCTTAAGAACACGTGAAAATATTTCCTATTGCATTAAAATTCTTTAATACATATAATTTTTTTTATTTCTTCCTGCATTGTTCATCATATTCTTCAGTCGAAAGCCCAAAATAATGAAATTTCAACGAGATCGGACTCATAATAAGTCACGTGATCCAGTCTCGTGTCCGTGAGAGACGCTGCCTCGAGCAGTGACGAGTGTTCGAGATACAGAGACGTAAATATGGCGATACGACGATTAACCTACCAGGGTAGACGATTTCATGGCTGAAATTTTGCGGGCAACCGGGAATCTCTAAAAATACGGAAAAATGTTGCTAAAAACTCCACCTACTAGACGTTTGGTTTCGAAGTCAAAAAACGTGGTTTTATTCTGTAACAGCGTCTACTTTAAATAAGATCCACGATCCTTTCCAATTTGCTTATCGCTCGACTTTGTGGGGGGAAATTCAGAAAAAAAATTTCTTAAGCCTCTGACGTTCTAAATACGCGCTGTCTCCGGGGCGTTCTCTCTCATATCAAAGTTGCGTTTTTAACAGGCGTCGGTCCTATAATTTCCGCTGACATTTTACTTCTCTGACCGCTGAATCGTTCGAAGGTTGAACTGCGGGGTTGAGAAGCTTCATCCCCCGCCCCGTCCAGTCCCTTGCGCGGGTTATATAAAGGGTCGCGTACCCCCGGCAGCGCCAGTCGCCACCCGAATGTCGTCGTCTACAGGAGAGAGCAATGTTTTCGGAGGTTACGAAGACGTGGCTCGCAGTTCGCGCGTCACGACGTCCAGAGCCGACAGCTCGTCGTCATCGTCTCCGCCTTCCTGCAGCCTGCACCACCATCACCAAATGAGCAACAGCTTCCTCGGCGCGGAACTCAGTGACGACGACCTGGGGGAGCTACCCTCCTGTGCGTATGCAGGCCGCAACACGGGAGGCAGCTCGGTCCAACAGCTGCCTTACCTGGGCGTGTCAGGTGAGCAAGTAGACTACTAGCAGCTTTGTCTAAAACATTAATTCATTAGTCTTTGTCTGTTAAAATCATACAATTCATAAGACGATGGTTTGTTACGAATTGTATGATTTAATAGACAGACTAATAAATCAATGTTTTAGTCACTGATGATGAACTCTTGAGGTCGAAACGCGGCCTCTGACCGAGTTAACTCGTGTATGAGGAAAATATTGACTCACGATTACACAGAGAATGATTTGTGACCACGTTCTCTCCTGCCTACGATTTGACCTTGAATATAAGAAAGCTTGGAAAATACAGGAATGCAGTTATATTTTATGAAAAGTTTACGTAATTTATAAACTAATGCACTTGGAAACGTTCTGAAACTAAAATTGGCAAATTTTCTGTCGGTCTGTCTCCAACCAATAAGATCTAGACAATGGCCGAACGAAGTTTCATGAAATTCGATATCCTTTTGGGGAGTTCTATTATAAAATTTGTTCTCTGCGACGTGTACAGTTCACGTGGTGGTAAGACATTTGAAATTATACATTCATATCTACCACGAATTAGAAAGAAAACTCACAACTATTCGAATAAATTAAAATTAAATTATTTGGTTATTCCGTCAAATCACAATGTATTTAAAATAAGATAATTAAAATATTATTCTGTGTTCCATATCGAATAATCGATTTACAATTGGATTATTCGATATGGAACACAGAATGATATTTTAATTATTTTAATAATTTTACACCTGATGATGGTTTAATGAAACCGAAACATGTTGTAACTGTTCCAATTGTAAATCGATTATTCGATATGGAACACAGAATGATATTTTAATTATTTTAATAATTTTACACCTGATGATGGTTTAATGAAACCGAAACATGTTGTAACTGTTCCAATTGTAAATCGATTATTCGATATGGAACACAGAATGATATTTTAATTATTTTAATTATCTTATTTTAAATACATTGTGATTTGACGGAAAACCAAATAATTTTAATTTAATAAATTACAATATGACGCAACTACACTATCTTATTAGAATAAAGTTTTGAGTCATCAGACTTTGTTGTCTGACTAGTTAGACGTGCACTGCTTCTCCCTGCATTCAAACTTCTTCAGTGCAGTTTTGGCACCGTCTCCTGATTCGAGTGATTATTTTGGGGGGGACCAAAATCAGAGACAGTTCTAATTCTTCTGTCCCTGTGACTGTGATATATATTTCGGGGACACTGTGCATCGTTTTCTCGAAGTTTCTTAATTTATTTCAGAGATACGCAGATTCTTCGACTCTGCAGACAAGGAAAATCCTTTACAGAGTTCTACCCAGAAGGATCTTCGTCAGGCGAAATTCCTTCTGTTTGTAGTTCGTCTTGCAAGATATTTATTTACAATGTTCTCAATTGTGTCAACCCCTGATTTTGTGGCGTTGCAACGAAGAATGACACAAGGCTCTAGCGATATTTCTTCATATAAAACTATGTTGTCGTGGTGTTCTGTTGATCTGATAATGAATGACTGTACTGTTTTTCTTGGAAACGTGCGGTCCGAATTTTACTTTGTCGTCATGAAAGGTAAAGGATGATTCACTTATTCACCTTGGAAACAGAATTAATTTTCCAATTCCCACTCTCTATGTCACGTAATGTCATATCGTAATGCAACAGATTCTCGGCTAAGAGCGAATTTGTAAGAAACTTGTCTCCGGCAAACAACTGAGATCTGTAGCAGCCCTTGGTTCTACGTCACGTGATTTTCCTAACCTATCCAGTTGATTCAACGTTGTGTTTTCGAGTGAATGGGCATCTGTGAAATGTCGCTAGTTGATCGTCAGTTGTTTTATGCGTTCCCGGAGCTAAACGCGGGTTTACCAAACACTTATTCTCTACGAGACGGGAGCTTCGCATTTTGTTTTGAAATCCACAGTCCACTTCGTCAAACTTGACAGATTGACAACTGCAGACTGAGATATTAACTGGCTGGAACCGTAGCTAACAAATGTGACTCGTTTATAAGTGGGGTGCAGACACACACGCACCCCAAAATACTTTCAAAATTTTTTATGAACACTCTATTACCTAAATTTTAAAAATAAATTAAAATTATTTACTGATAAATTTCTGATATTCTTTTCTTACTTAGAAACAGACGTTAATATTTAACTACGCCTATCAGTGGGACGGGAAGTTCAAACTAACTTAAAAACGTTTTTCTTAAAGAATATTAACATTAATTATTTTTGAGTATGTAATTATAAAATCTCGTCTTCGCCTTTGACGTAAAGCGATGTCGTACGTATTTAAGATAAAAATTCTACATGTGAGCCTTTAAAGCCTATGGGTAAGTCTTTTGCATAACAAACAATTCAGCAAATTACAGTTTTTCGTGTTAAAAAACTCTCTTGTCTTAAATAAATTCCCGTTTATTCTAAAAGCTGACCCTAAGACTTATTCATTATCACAGCGAAACGCAATTTAACGAGAAAATATAAACATTTGAACTAATACGCGATGGAATAAACAATATTCTGCAAATAAATATATTTCTCCTTATACATTAGACATGTTAATTGTGATTCATAATATGTTTTTCTTTAAAGTGAAGCCCGAGGTCTAGTCTCATTATAGTATAATTTTGTAAATTGATCTCTCAACAAAAAAGGGAAATTTTGACAGAATAACTATCATATTTATTTCACATATCTTGACGAAATTATCTACCGCAATTAGTTTTCGATAGACCTAAAGGAAAACACATTTTGTGCCAGACCACGAACGAGGACTTTGTTTCGAGGTTGTAGCTTTTATCTCCATAATCTAACCTCTCGAAAAGAAATAATTCTGGCTTTGTGTAGCCTTTGTTCCGCTAAAGAGGTCTGTTCTCGAAGCCGATGCTTCGTTTCCGAACTACGTAAAAAAATCTTCACTCAAGACTCGAACCCAGGACAGAATTTTCAGAGTTTGAACGCTGGCCTTGTAATCCTGGGGTCTCGGGTTCGATTCCCGGCGGTGCCCGAATTTATAACTTGTGTTGGGCAAGGCCGTGGTCTAGGCAACACGGAGTTTTCCTCCGGGGGCTTCCCCGGTTTCTCCGTGGCATCCCAACAATTACTCCATTCACACACAGAAGAAGGCAACGGCAAACCACTTCTGGATCATCTGCCAAAA